GTGGATGTACTGCGAGAATGCTATCTCTGAATGCACAACAGTGTTTCATCCCTTTCTACAATGATGTTGTGGTAGCAGTTCAGAAGGGCGTACGGCAAGGTGATCCGATATCGCCAAATCTGTTTTCCGCTTGCCTAGAGCACGTCATACGTCGCTGCGACTGGAGCAACTTTTGGCGTCAACATCGACGGTGTGCGTCTCAATCATTTGCGTTTTGCCGACGACATCGTGTTGATCACGAACTCTCCAGAACACGCTTACTGAGATGCTGCATCGTCTGGATGAGGAAGGAGCCATTATGGTCTCACTATCAATACCTCTAAGACAAAGTGATGCGTAAAACCCATTCTCAGGCGGCACTCCCGTACTTTTGAGAGGAAGGAAGTCCCATTGAAGACGTTGACGAGTACGTGTACCTCGGGAGCCAGCTTAACATGAAGAACGACCTGGCTGGAGAGCTAGCAAGACGGCGCAAGGCTGGATGGGCTGCGTTTTCCTCTATAAGAAGCGTAATGGAAGACATCAAGGATCGCAAACTCGAGCGAGCGGACCTTTTCAACTCGAACGGGTGTTGGCCTGCCTCAGCTATGCCCAGTCGAAAAACATGTGCGACTAATCCGAAATTTGTACAGGAAAGGCAATTACTATCTACCCAGGCATCGATTGAACGCCGTCTTCTGGGTTTGACGTTGAGTCGCCAACGAGAGCTGAACTTCATAATTCTGACGTTAGAGCCATGTCACAGATAAAAGATATTCTTCTTCACGTCGATGAAGCGAAGCACAGGTTCGCCGGCCACCTGATGAGGAGGGATGACGGACGATGGAGTTCGGCTACTGTGCGATGGTACCCCCGCGAGAAGAAAAACGGCCGTCCTCTTTACGATGGGCAGATTCCCTTGCTCATCGAAACAACATCTATGATCCAGAGTCCTTTAGGGTGACCACACACTGGACAACCATAGCCCAAGATCGAGAACAATGGAAAAGAAGTTGGGACCCGCGCAAGAGCCAACCGCCGGCGGTTAGCTGACTGACGCGGTCGTGGGCCGAGTATTCTAAGGTTAGTAAGTATTCCCACTTAATAATATACCAATGAACTTTTTTCTATAAGTGTCCGAGAAAAGAGGATCACATGTTTCCAACGAGTGGTTAGAGAAACAGTGTTACGTCGAGTAAGGCAGAGCCTTCATTCGGGACATATAAAGTGGAACCACACACAAGTAACAACATACACTGCGTTCAATAATGATACAGCCACCTAAAATTTGTTCGAAAACTTAAAGTTCATAGAGTTTCTGAAAAATCTGTCCAGATAGAAAATGTGACAAATTTCATGGCGAGTTCAGATATCAACACAAAAATCCATGTCGAAAACACTGAAAAATTTTGTGCTTATTTTTTCAGAAGAGGTCGATTTTCCTATGTTCAAAAATGATACAGCCCACTCCGTGTTTCTTCGAATCATTTTGTGCTTCTATGAAAACTGTGATTTTGCAGTAATCAGAGCTTTCACCTTAATGTTCCCACAAGATGAAAAAGACAGTTGGATTTTCGAAAAAGGGTAAACTGGAGCAAAAAGGGACCAGGAATCGTCAAGCAGTCATATTGCGAAAAAATTAAGTCAAGGCTCCAATACGGTTAACAATCTTTTCTGGATTCTCCAGAAGAGAAGTCGTACTGACACGGCTGTTTTTCACACCAAAATCATGTACACTGAATTGAATGCGAACCTACACGACGTCGCTCTTTTTGGCGCGGCACCTGGTGTATACAGGCTGCGCTCATGTTGTCGAAAGAGAACGCTTGTGATGGGAGTTGGTATGAATTGGCTATGTTCAGATCTGGAACACAGGTCTCACACGTCTTAGGTCGGGACTGCCAGAACACATATGAATTAGTATACCACATCTTTCTGTGGTCGGCGCCAGCATTTCAGCGTCGTCAATCTCAAGCGTTGCTTGTTGTGTTGATTGGTACAAGCCTCTAGTTGTATAGTTGGTCTTCGAAGATATGAGTATCCCAGCAAGAAGCCATTGTTGGGCTTCAAGGCAGGATGGCCCAACTGGCTTCCGCACACTAACGGCTAACATGGACCGAAGGCGAGAGGTGAAACTTTGTCCTCAGCGACGAATGAGATTTCTATCTTCCTAGAAATAATGTTAGTGGACCCTGTGAAGTGTTTTGTCAAATGGGAAAACCTCATTTTGAGTATAAGATTCCAACAGTCAGAAATAGCGGAAGTGTTGTCATGGATGAAGATGTGTCCGGCCATTCGGCGATTCCCCAGTTCTAGGTATCCAGCGAAATGTGGGTTGGGCTAAGTACAAGTATAGTCTGTAGAATACAATGCTTCTTCGATAGTCAGAAACTAGCCGGAAAAGATGGGTTTTCTATTCAGGGAAATGACCCGATGCTGAGCGCCTACCTCCTCACTGCCGCCTTCCTAACCCAGAAAAAGAAGCTGTTATGAAGCGACCAAGTCGAGATCTAAAGTCCAATTGAGTTCTACATCCTGCGGAAAAGCTGGCATGTCGCTCAACCCACATTCCAGTCAGGAATTCCCCCAAACAAGTACGTTTAGTCAACATGTGCAGATTGCAAGCTTAAAAGGTCTTAAAGTTATTTCATGGTCAACTCCGTGTTAGTAAAAACGACGCTGACATTATAAAATTAAGCTACTAACCACGCGAGCGGTCCGGGGATCAAATCCTGGGTCGTGAGTCGCCCGGGCCAACCAAGCCTTCCATCCCTCCGGGGTCGGTTAATTGGTACCAGACTTGTCTGGGAGGATAAAAACACTGACTTGTACATCGGCTGGCCCCCGCAAGTCATTGTATAGGCCACATCGCATTCAAACGCCACTACGAATGTACAAATGGAAGTAGAATGCGTGCCGCATCCCAAAAAGGGATTGATCAACGGCAAATGCTTTATCCTTTATTCCTTTTTTACTAAATCAAGATAAATTAATTTATCACTGTGAGGATTCAAAAGCTTATTTCGCGAAATCTTGCTTTGAATTGAGCGGAGGTTCCAAACTTATGATTCGCGCCATTTCTTATAAAGTTTGGAACCACCACAGAGGGAAAATTCAGTGACTCGAAAGTTACAGTTACCTACCAGGACAATTATCAGATGCAGAAACTAGGTCTCCCCTTGTCGACTTTCTTACACCCAAAATGAAAAAATTGATGTGAAAACCCAGCCAGACACTCTAAAGACTCCACATCTGTAGTGGATAGAAAGCCACACGAGTAGTCTACTTAGAACTTCTTACAGGACCGAGCACCCAAGAATAAAGCAAAAATCCTCCAAAAAGCGATTTTTCGAGTTCGTTGCTTTCGAAGAATTGTTACAATGGAACCATCCACCTAATAGCTCTAGATTTCTGTATTTCACACCCTGGATGCAAGCGCAAATAAATGCAACACAAAAGTTTGATTCCCTGAAGAAGGCAGAGCAGAAGGCCTGGAAACATTTGGACACGCCTTAGTTGCGTGCCACCGCACGCGCCATCCCCCTCATCCGAAGGCTCGTGTTAACGGGGGAAGTGGCAGATCTCAATTCTATTCTGGAATTACTTTGAGGTAAGAGTTACAAATACTTCCCAGAAGTTGGTTTGTTCCATCAAGCTACTATGCGTTTTTAACGACACAATGTCTTGGTCCTCATAATTTTGACCACCCTGTAGTTCACGTGAGAGCCCATAGCATGCTGTTCACTCATTTGATGATCTGCCACGTGGGCAGACCATGCCCTGTACCGAGTAAATACGTCAAAAGTTCTGCGGACTTGGACAAAATTTATCGGCTCAAGACTTTTTACCATCCCAAGTATAACACGAGTCTCATCAACAGGTCACATCCATAACACTGGCATTTGGATTATTGAGTGGAGGAGGATTGATTGTACTGAGGAAGAGGTAAGACAATAACATATTGTCCTCTTTTGATCATTAACACCTGAAAAAGAAATGCTATGGGCTTCAGAGGCCATTCCTAGAGTTGCAACGAATGAGGCGGGTCACTGGATGAAGAAGAACGACGTTTTGAGGCGCCGAAAATCGAGCCGCAGCTAGAAACCTTGAGCGCAAATTATCGGTACGTCAACTGGAAGTTTAGGAAGGAGCCTAACAAAGATATCAGACGAACGGCAAATCTTCCGCTTTTTACTTTTGAAGCTCTTGCAAAAATTATGAGATGATTATTGCCTTTGAAAACACTGACTTGTGCGAGTGGAAAGACTTTCAGAGCATACTTCCAAACCTGCTTGAGTAATAGTAACACAGCGTATTTAACCGTACCACATACTGCCATAACGTGTTATGAAATGAAAGAATTGGTTAGTTTCGCAAAGAGGGCTGCAGAAACAAGAAAAAGATTTTTTTTTTTTCGCCATGTTTATGGCAGTGAATCGTCTTTTATCGTCGAGGCTCTCGACTGCCTGCTTTTCAATTCCTATCCAATCATAGAAGAATTCAATGATTAAGAAAGCAAGTTTTTTAGCTGCACGCCTGTTACAAGTCCCATGCCCAGAATAATGTGTCCACCTCATTTCTGGGGAGCCGCGGCTAGACTTATGACTCTGCTCAGTAAGCTTAAGAGGAGTAATGGGACTGCTTGGTTGAGTTAGCAACTGTCACTTCTCAGAGTCCTCCTTCCACTAGACGTTATGTTTAGTTGTTCACCAATCTCGCCGGCCCGGTGGATGGCCCTGCCGTACGTGCCCCGTCAGTTTACGCGCGACACTATTCTGACGGTGACAAACGAAGACACTGGAAACACGAAATGCCAGGAAATTCAGGGGTCCTGGGGGGGATCAGTTGAGCACTTTTTCATACAGCAAAAGCTTGACAACGTCGAGGTGTGTTAGAGTCGTGAAAGCCACCGAGTCAGGCCAAAGAGGTGGCGCGCAAACAGAAGGGCACACACAGACTTTTCAAGGCTACGGGATGGATTAGAGCGCCGGGAGAGCTAATCCCTCGTTACGAGTGGAAAAGGATAGGTGTGTCCCCAAACGCAGGATTGCGCGACACTGCCGCGACTCAACGCGGTCACGCGCTTAAGCTGGCTTGCCTGTCGGCCGTCATTCCTTAGTCAATTGCAAGCATTCGTGGCTTTCTGCGCCATCTTCGTGTACGGACGTTGCTCTTCATGCTTTTCCCTCTCTTCCACCAGCGTGCTGTTCTCCACATAAGTCACGGTCGACCTATCAAGAGGCGAATTCTCAGTGTTTTTGTAGTACTTTTTTTTGCTTTTTCTCCCCACTAAAATTCCTCATCGCACGTCTTGTCTAAGATCCATCCAAAATTACACGAACCAATTTCGAATCAAGCCTTGCACTGAAAGACCGAGTTCAAGTCGTCCGCAGAGCCTTTTGGGAAGGTGATTTCAGCAAAATCAGTCGAAAACCAGGCGAGAGAGAACCAAACCAAAAAGGCGGTATCAAAAGTGGAATGGTCAGCAGTTGTAGATAATACAAAGTGATAATATTTCAATAGCAAACGAAAGAATCAATGTTCCGTCAAGGTACCGTCTCACAACTATGTACTGTTATCTCGCACGCTTCAAGCAGCCGTACGACAAGTGGCTCATCCATACCCACCGACTGGATTGGGTGCTATCTTTGTTGGGGGGGGACCACGCGGCGGTGCGGCGGCCTATTCGTCTCCTCCTGCCAGGCCTAGTCCTCAATGGTGCGTATTTCGAAACTGCCACATGAATACGAGAGTAACTGCCCTGGACAAGAGACTTAGAAACATTAAATGGTTCGACTACTAGCTGGGAAGGTGCAGACGAACAGAGCGCCGCGCCGCCGTGTGGTTCCCCCTTCCCCCAACTAAGATAGCACCCTGGATTAACTACTTCCTCACTGGTTCGTAGATTCTTGTCTGGCAATGTTAGAGCTGAGGGAGCTGGCGTTCTTTATCCACCTACCTGTAACGTTGGCATGGTGAGTATAGAGAAAAGTTGAAGTAGTCCTCCACTTGACTGATCAGTGTATGCGATTGCGCCCACCTTGCATTTTATTTGACGTCTTGCCCACAGTAAACTCAGTTTAAGCGAAGCGAATTCATTGGCACTGCAGGGAATATGTTTTGATAGTGATACAATATTTCATAGCTATTATGCATAACTGTGGGGCTCGAAATTTCTTTTGCGATACCGTGTTAATGCAGTAGCTGCATTTAGAGGAGGTGCTGACCCATTAGAGTACCTCAGCAACTTATCTGTGATGAACTATCTCCGTAATATTGTTTGTGCGCTATATTTCCCTTTCTCTTGCTTCATCCAAATCATTTTTATACATGCGTTATGTGTAGGTTTGATATACTTTTGTCAGTCGAAAACGAATTGCATCCCGCTGTCCTAGTGCAAAGACTATTTTGCCGCATTCCTTGTTTTGGCCCTGTTATTTCTGAAGTTTCTAAGCGTACTTTGGATCTATTCCAGTTAGGGGGGGGCATCATGATGTAGTTTTTCCAGAAAGCTGGGGTAAGTTTCAAGCCAAGTGGAGTGTAGCCAGTCTAGGGGTGAGGGCAGCACTTGACATGCGTTAAGCTGGTATGTTCGAGTTCACCGAGAAACTGCATCATGATGCTCCCTAACTGGAAAACTATCCCGTACCTTCTTGTATCGTCAGTCCCACCGTTTATCACGATGATTTAGCTATTGGTAATATAAGAGGCTTTCTTTCGATGCTCGGGCTTTTCGGAAACGGCAATGCGAGAGCGGCTCAGTAAACTTAGGCCTCAGCAAGACTGTATCAATACTTTGTCGATGTGGTTAATGCATCACCATCGACATACCGACGACATCGTGCAGATATGGCTAAAGGTTTCTTTTGTTTTGTATTTGATTCAACATTTTAGTTAAACCTGAAAATTTTTGCAGGAAGTGCGAAAGGAGACGAATTCGTCCCAAATCGTAAACTTGCTGTACATCGCCAACGACGTGATTCAAAATAGCCGCAAAAAGAACCCCGAAATGGCAGTGAAGTTCTACTCTGTTCTCGAACCAGCTTTCCGGTCAGTCATTTGTTTCAGGCTCAATATGTCTCCGGGGGCCAGTCTGTCAGAGGGCCACTAGGACTTAGCCTAGCGCAGATGGACGAATTTTTCATTCGAAGCTAATGAAAATTGTTTGCGCAGGACGGTTTCCCTCTTCTCCTTCAGACGCTTAGACTCAGAAATGAGCTATATCGCGTGAAGCTGAACCAACTTCCCGCCTGCCCGCCCCCGGTCACACTTGCGCCTTTGTTCCACAAATTTTGTTGTTGTGCTGGAGGAACGCCTCAGGATATTAAGGCAAAATCAAGCTAAACCCTTGGAATGGCCACAAATAGTTGGATTCGAATCCATTGAGACTTGTAGGCTTCCAAACCGTGTGGTACGAAGTTATCCAAATCGCCTTCTTTATGCTTGCATTACCGCTTAAAGGAATCTTGCGCGGAAAAATCATGATTCTATTTCAGCCATAAATCACTGGCTTGAGACTCATTATCCACGATAATAGTGAAAAGAACTGAAGTATTGCTTTCGTTTTGATTAGAAATTCGAAAACTCGAAAAGGCTGCTACGCGTTCGAATTGCCCACGGACGTCTTTCACGAATGCTGGCGACGGGGATGCTCAAACTTGGTTCTTGGAGTGCATTCACTAGAAGCTCTTTCTGGCCTTCTGCTTCGTTGCATTCACATCTTACACTTCTACTCCATCCTATTCCATCGATCGATTTGTCTCCACTCTCCGAAATCGCGCGCTTTAACCCGATTCTCTCATTGCGTCGCCTGGTACGTAGCCGGCCAAACGCCGTCTTCTTTCCATGCCTCGCCTGGCTCTGCCTCCTGGTCCTTCGATGGTCCATAACGTGTAGTTTTTGTACGTTTGTTTCTCTTCAGAAACCGAATCTTCATGCGTGAAACTTTGTGTGCTATTTCCAGTGATCACAACTGACATATTCATGTTAGGAAAGAGTGCAAGAATTTTCCGCGCAAGATTCCTTTAACTAAGTGTTGCCTCACCAAAGTTTACGGGTTACTTCAACTTTCTTCATGGCGCTGCCACGAATGGCGAAGAGCACAGACAATCAGAGGAACGGTGCCTGGCTCGGCTCCAAATATGAAGGAAGGATGTGAGAGCCTAAGGACTAACTAAGACCTGGAGGGGGAGGAACTTCAGAGTGGTTGGGCCAGTTACAGAGTGGCAAAAGGTTGATTGTGTGAGATCCCAGTGGCCATCAGCGCAGATAAGGCGAGAGCAGACAGAGCATCAGATCACCTGTATCACCTGTCGTCCCGTTGATCGTCGATTTGCTCGAGCGGGCGCCAGCAACGTCTCCATTCGTCCCTGTCGCGTGCTAGGAGTGGTCCAGTGGATCCTCCTTGCTCGAGGGACACGAAGTCCATCATTCCTTTCGTTCAGAGCTTTCGTGAAGAAGTCTGACCATCGGGCCGGCGGTCGTCCAGGTGTTCGTTTGACGTCCCGAGGGATCCAGTCGGTAACCGCTCTGGTCCAGGGCATCAGATAGCGGCTTAAATACAGAGTTCAAGTACTCCTCCGAACGCCTCTTCAAGGTTGAATTCGCTGTATCTAATTCTCATAAACAACCCACGCGTTGCTTGTTACTTGCAGAAACGTCTTGTCTCTCAAAACCACACATGTTCTTCTCGCAACTAGACTGCAGTCCTACTTTTGTTATGGTAGAAAAAATGAGGTGCCGAAAAACGCGCTTGTAACGTTTCTGCTTTCGCGCTAACCCTCAGTGAAAAGGGCTCTTTAAGGTTGATACCAAATAAGTAGTGTATGCCCTTTCTTGAGAATTGTAATTTAATCTAAGGAGCTTGCAACATTCACTTGTCGTAAAACAGCTGTTGTAAACAATTGCATCCAAAGAATTTTGAACAAACCATATGATTATATAAATGGATGTTATTTCTATATTCTGATCCTTCCTTTGCTATCCTTCTCTTTAGACCCTGTCCATTTTCGCCAAATTAGAAAATTGCATTCTCTAGTTTCATGTGGATGTAGGGACGTGTTATATAACAGTTTTACATTTCAGACATGCTGCAAAGATCTCCGGGCCGGAGCTTGACAAAGCGATGATCAAGACACTAAACGTGTGGAGGGACAGACAGATCTACAGCGAGGAGCAGTTGGCAACGTAGGTTCCTTATTAAGCACTCACTTTTTTATTTGGCCTTGAAATCTTCTGAGTACGATAGAATAGTGTCATCTACTGTACTTATTCTGATGGTGGCTTTATGGGGTAAACAAGAGGAAACGGATGGCGTCTTATGTTAACCTGGGCTCTCTTGTTTTTTACACACTGGTGTGCAAAACTTAAGGACCGAAGTAACTTTCACATGATATCTCACTGCTAGTTAACCTAGGTGGACCAAATTTGGCACATATATAGAAGTAAATGTTGCGGTACAGTGCAGAGAGTTACTAACAGAAAAGCGCAAAGGGGCGATTGGAAAAGACATTTTTCTGCAAATACCCTGTCTGAAGCGGTCGATAGGTGAGGCTTCTCCAACTCATGGTAGACATTCAAAAGAGAGGAGCTGGTTCTTGATGGGGTGTATGAACACTACGGACTGCAAAGGTATGCTCTGCTACGTGTTCCCATACAGGCCGTAAGATTAGTTAAGAGTTCTTGAGGAGAAGTGACCGATTCCTTGGAGACCGCGATTGACAACTGCAGGACTATTGTTGGCACATGGTCATGTGCTACAATAGCTCATCTGAATCCACGCCACACGTGCTCCATAGAATTAGACTGGAGGAAATAAATGGCTTCACCAATTACCGAAAATCCTCACTTTTCAAGAGTTTTCCACCCAGGCTGCTCGATACTCTCGCACACTGCCCTCCATACGATTGAAGCTGAGGGCAAGGGAACCCTTGGAAAGATGCACATGACAGAAGGGTACAACACCACAATCACGTTGATCAGAAAGTGTAACGCGATCATGAGTTGGGGATCAGTACGCCCCGACAACTTTATGCCTCCCCACATCATGTCGCATGCACTACCAAAACAATCATGTTAAACGATGGTCCTGGGTAGATTACACGTTCCTATTTTCCCCATATGCAGGTAAGTCCAGAATCACTACTCACATTCAGTTTGCTCTTGACCGGGAAGAATACGCGATTTTTCAATTCGGTGGTCCATCTCCAATGTCTCGGCTCGTACCAAATGTCCCAGCCGAGGCGTGGATTTCAAATGAATACAGGTATTGTTGATCGATGAGAGAGATCACTCCTAGGCGGTCACTGCGCCACTGTCCGGACTGGGATTACATGCCTTACAATCCTGATAAATGTTTTTGCAACTGCAGCATGTGACTGACGTGGGTCCATTTTTGCCTGTAGCAAAACCTAGCAATCACCTGCTGCTGCGGTTGTTCGTGACCCACAACCTCCTCTTCTTGGGACAGCAGTGGCTGCGGTCCACATTGCTTCTCATGCACAAAAAACAATGCTGTGGTTGACACAAAACTCCTGGACACAACTTCCTTTTTTCAGTTTCCCAATGATTCTTCCTCGCGTAAAGTCACCCTAGTGTTGTCTCTGAGACTTGATGTAATCAAGAACACCACTACATTCCACAGTCACTTCTCCCTGCTTAGTTCACCCCTCTTGTCCTGCCCCACGATACCCATCGTTCTGGGTGGCCACCCCATTTAGGCTCCAGATTGAAGCCGGATGCAAGACATATGAGGCCCACTTCGGTGCCCATGACTGTAGGGCTTCTAGCATTATGCCCGTACAGTTTCATCCAATTCCATCTAATTGTTAATAAGTTAGGACAATTTATCTATCTGGTCCTTAAGTTTTGCACACCAGTGTATTTACATGAGCGGCTCGTGTGTATGTAAGGGCCTGTTAAAGTTTTTTTTGGATTTTGTCTGTGCATGATCTCTATCATGGTAGATCAGGAGGCGGGGGGGAAATATACTTGGCGCCATGATCCGTCTTCTCGAAGGCCTTAGTTAGCGGTGCTACTGTAGAAACTGTCACGGCACAGGGAAATACGGTAGTAACGGCCTTCATGATTAAGGTTTAGAGTTGCAAAGGAATACAGCGCCACCGCGTGGTCTCTCCCCCCCCCCCCCCCTCCCTCGAACTAAGTTAGCACCGACTATTGTCATCTACGTAATTATACGAATCGTCTTTTGTGCCGCTAGAACTTCATCCTGATATGGGTAACTTCTCTTTTTTCCTAAGAGGGGCGCTACATTTATGTCATTAGTACCAAGCCACTCAGTGCCTCAGACCGTAGCTTAGAGCCAAATTTGTCTCTGTTTTATGCTGCTAAATATTACTTGTTGATTTTGTTACAATACGTTAGGAACGACGGGGTTTCCTTGACACCTCGCCATGTTTGGGTATCTCTGTTGTGGGGGAAGCGCGGCTCAATGAACTGGCGAAAGCAATGAATGGTTTTGAGAGTAGTGTGGGTGCGCTTGGTGTTTTCGTAATTTGTCTTTACTTTACCAGCGAAATAGAATTCCAGTGCAAAACAGTTCTTATACAGAAGCTCATCTTTATCCAACCGATGATGTGTTTGATTGTAGGTTTTTCAAGGCTTTCAATTCTAGCCTCGACGCTGTGGTGAAAAGGCGTAAACCGAGTACAGGTAATAGCATCGTGCACTCACATGTTCATGCTCCTCACGTTCCTGAGCTGTTCTCAACATCGGTTAGATTTGTATTCTATTTTTTTTTTTTTTTTCCTTCACTATGCAGTTCGAAATTTGTCAGTTTTTGTGAGATTTGCATGGGACTAGTGTTGTAATCGGTCTCACTTTGTAAAGGACTCTAACGAGTCTTGTTATGGAAAGAGGCCAACCTATTAATAGGTAGAAACACTTCTAAGTGTTAGCTTCAGTGATTTGTGTGTGTGTGTTTTCGCGAGGGGAGGCATGTCAATTAGTTGAATTCAGTCAATGTTGAATCCAGTCATGTAATTCTTTTACGAAACAAAAAAAATCTCGTTTCGATAGAAAATTTACGATATAATCCATTCTAGACCGCACCACCAGCTCCTCCACCTGAATTTGATTCAGAATTGGTTAGTGCGAACGTAGCGGATGTGTTGGAATCACTTCGCAAACTTGATTATCCTCCTAGCGCAGATGCAGAAGTCAGGCATGTGCAGTCTCCTAATTTCATATGTAATGTTGCTGAAGATGTGAGTGGTAGTTTTAAGTTCTATAGTGATAGTTTCAGGCATAAAATTGCATCATACTCCGAAATGATTGCTACTCCTCAATCACTCGATACCATAAAAAACAGTGCCCAGGCCAAAAAATTGCTGGAGGAAATCGCGGAAGCTGAGCCACTCGTGAAGGATTATTGTCAAAGGTAATTTCCTGTGAGTTCGCTCACTTCCCCACTTCGAATTGTATAACGTTTTTGTTCGCTTCCATTTCTCGTTTCTGATTTCTTGGCTTTTCACAGTTTAACATCTTTAGGCTGGCAGATGAGATGCTAGAGCGTCGAAATTTGCAAAAACTGTTCGACGATATGATTGCCAATGTGCGTGCAACGGTGGATCTCCATGAGAGATTGCTGAAGGAAGTCAGAAGGAAAGAAGAGCGAGCTCGCAGTGATCTGGCTGAGGTGAGGCATTTCTTTTGTTGAATTTGATTTTGGTGTTATTTTTATTTTCTTCGTTTTCTTACCTCTTTTTTTGAAAAAAGGTTGTTTACGCTGCTCAACGATCTGTTAATCTCAAATTCCCATTGAGCGCTCGGAAGTGTTTTCTTTATAGGTCAGAAAAGCGTTCGATTCACTGCCAGACCTCACGGAGGTAAGCGAAGATGCACCTCTCCCAACCCTCGAAAATCTCTTTGATCTCTGACTGCTTGATCTATCGTTTTTATAATCGCACGTCGAATGTTACTGCAAAGTATTATGAATGTTTAATCCAACTTAATCATGAATTGGCGTACCTATGAGTAGATTAGTTCTGAAGGCGGGTTCACCCTTGATTTCATTTTTGTTCTATTCTCATTCGTATTATAATTGTTTTTCTTTTGTACATAAGAAATGATTTATATCTTAACAATGCAAATGCTGAAGCTGTATATCTTGTTGTTATCATTTTTTAGACTGCCAAATGTATTCTTTTTATTGCCCATCATTAGATAAAGAACGTTTCTACTTCCTTCAGGATACCATGAGGTTCCAACCTATCAGTCTTTTCTTACATTTCCTGTGTACTTTGCAACACTGAAACGCTGTTTTGTACCATAAGGAATCTGATAAGCAATTTAGTGCTCATGGGGATTGTGGAAAAGATTGCTGAGGTGGAGCGAGAAATCGCCAGAACTCAGAAGAATAAGGCCACTGAGTACCATCTTGGTCTGTTGAAGGTACGGCGTCTTTTTCACAGCTTCGAATAGTTCAAACTCTGGTTAGGATTGAAACTATTTTCAGGCCAAGCTCGCGAAATACCGCCAACAACTTTTGGAACCAGTTGGTGGAAAAGGAGGATCAAAGGGAGATGGATTCGATGTGATGAAAAGTGGAGATGCACGAGTAGCAATGGTGAGTTAGGCACTCGATATTTTATTTGTGTGTGGCTCCCACGTAATTTTCTGCTGCAGGTAGGCTTCCCCTCGGTAGGAAAGTCAACACTTCTTTCAACAATGACAAGCACACAATCAGAAGTTGCTGGTTATGAATTCACAACACTTACATGTATACCTGGAGTGATAAACTACCAAGGAGCTAACATTCAACTCCTTGATTTACCTGGAATCATTGAAGGCGCTTCCCAAGGAAAAGGTTAGTAGCATTTCAAATACACCTACCTTAACTCCTAGTTCATTTTTTGGGAAGGTTGATAGTTCCAAACACTGGTAGCAATATGATAGCACGGGGAGTTTATCACCTGTTGGCTTCGTCTGAATGCAAGTTGCTAATTGTACAACTGTGATTGTAAACGGTGGGATACTTCATAAAGGCAAAAGTCAGGCTCGTGTTTGGGCATTATGGCGCCTGAAATTGAGTGTAGAGATGGGAGGTGGAACGACAGTGAAGAAAAAACGCAAAGAAACCGTCGACAAGACCGAAATCGAAACCCCTTCCTTCTAGCAGTGAAGGAGGCTTGCTCGGGGAGAGCCACGTCCAAACGAGTTTTCCGGATATGCCAGCCGTTCCATCGGTTGATACGGCAATCAACCTAGCTGATCTCACACGTTAGGCCAGCCACGCACCACATCCCGCGGTGGGCGGGACCAGCTGATGAAACGAACCCATCGCTGTAAGTAGTAGGCCAGAAGGCCTTGACGGCGCGCAATCTCGAGTCAGGAGTGTGGCATCACCCCTCTGAGCGCATTCCTGGAAATATTAGTGATGGAAAGGCCTTCTATGGTCACCTAATCCTGACTCGTGGCTTTAGTAAGGATGATTGCGGGACCAACCCATATAGTTGAGTTCTTATCCCACCAGACCTGTCTGGACCCAATGAACCGCTTCTGAAAGGATTGTAAGCCTGGATGCCCCCAATAGGATTGGGTTTGAAGTAAGATTTCAGGACCGAATTAGTGGTAACTGACGCACGCCAGTTGCCATCTTATCCCTTCCTCCTTGAAGATGAGATAATCACATAAAAAACGTCAAGAGAAGCGAGTGCTTGCTAGAAAATTGAAGGATAAAGGCGACAGAATACCTCCGCAATGATTTGGCAGTTTTTTTTTTTAATATTGCACCTCTCGACGCAATTTTGTGTCAAACTAGCCGTGCTTTATCATTTCTACTTCATGTTCTTTCACTTTTATCACTAACTTGATAGTTCTATTTAGCCAACGTACTTTTTGTTTTTGTTTTTTCTTCATTACCCTTTCGCACTAATATTCGATTCCCTTTCAAGGTCGAGGACGACAGGTTATCGCAGTTGCTAAAACCGCTGACATAATCTTGATGATGTTGGATGCTGGAAAATCTGACCAACAACGTCCTCTGTTAGAGCGAGAATTAGAATCTGTTGGCATTAGACTGAACAAACGCCCACCTCATATTTACGTCAAGCAGAAAAAGGTACATTTTTGTGAAGAAACGAGGAAACGGTTATCAAAATTCGTATTTTAGGTTGGCGGAGTCAAGTTCACTCATACCGTTCCACTGACGCACTGTAATGAAAAGATGATCATGACGATTCTGCACGAATACAAAATTTTCAATGCTGATGTAGTGTTCCGGGAAGATGCAACGTATGTTTAATATCGTGCCGTTTATTAATTTTTATACAGAAGGCTTAGTGTAGTGGCATATAGGGACTTCAGCAGCTTCATTCGATCATGTTTTTGGAATAAAACGCTGGTATTTTGGGTTAGAGAATCTCCTGCGCTCATAACTGATATTTCTGGAGAAAATTACTTTATTCCCTCTCTCCTCTCCAGTGAGTATCCTACTTACTATAAAGCGCTTCGTCTGTCGTCTGTCGTTCTGTATGTCTGTCACGAAATTCCCTAGCTCCTCGGGATCCGCCTGGAGGGACCGGGTCAAGTGTGGGATGGGTGGGCAAGGTCTCACGAAGTACAAAACACACATCAGCTAAGCGGAGCCCCGCCCACAGTGGGCGTGGCGTGCGTCGACATGAAGTGTACTGACGACCGAGATTTCCAATTCTCTTAGAAAACGACCTTGAAACTGGGCCAAAAAGTGGGTAAAGGTGTGCATTGGTAAGTCACATCGAATTAGGAGACCCACCCCGGTGGGCGGGGCGTTCTCCAAAAAAGCAGTGCTTTATGAAAATTTCATAACTAAAAGAGGTGTAGTGGAGGAGTGGAGGCCAGCTGTCATGGTGGGCGGGGCTTGACCAAAGTGGGCGGAGTTTGCGACGAAAATTCATAACTCGGCTCCAAGAAGTCCCGGAGGCCGGGAAAAAGGTGGATGGAGGTGGGTGGAGGAGTGGAGGCCAGCTGTCATCGGTGGGCGGGGCTTGACCAAAGTGGGCGGAGTTTGCGACAAAAATTCAAACTCGGCTCCAAGAAGTCCTAGAGATAGGGAAAACGGGGTTAGAGTCGGCGTAGGAAAAGAGGTCAAATGTATTTTAGTAGCGCGAGACGCACACTAAAGTGGACGGGGTTCGCGAAAACTAGTCGTAATTTGTTTCAGTGTCCCAGAGGACCGGGAGAAAAAAGGGTAGAGGCCGGCGAAAGGAAGGGGCCAAATGCTATTGGTGGGCGGGGCACGCACCGAAGTAGGCGGAGTTTGCCACGAGATTTATTGTCCGGAAGCAGTCCGGAGACCGGGAAAAAGAGGATAATGGTTGACGAAGAAAAAGGTTGAAAGCCGTCGATGATGGAGCGGATAGAATTTAGCTGAGAATTCAGATATTCGTGGTGTATCAAGCCAAATTTGAAAATTTTCGTCGCACCATCAAAATTCGCCGCAGATCTGTGTTGTGCGCGCAATGCGTGCGGCGCCAACTGGTTGTTATTAATAATCCATATTTAATTGGCACAATGCACCTTTTCTATTTCTCTCATTGCGTATTTCTTTTCTAATACGGCGATATTTTCTTCTCTCTTTTTCTCGAATTTTTTTGTAAGCCCACTGAATGTCTGAATTACCAATTAATTTTAACCCTTTCCGGACCGCGCACTTTTTGCGCTCACGGCCGCATGCTGCGCGGCAAGCATAAATATCATATATTTAATCTGTATTCCCACTAAAGCCATTATTTTGTCTCGTTTATGTCTTTGTCATGTCTCGAAGAATATATAAGATTAATTTGACAGAAAACTGTTTTGCAAAAAAAGGGAAAGGGCCATAAAAAGGGAGGAAGGGACGAAAATTGTTCAAAATAAGTTGGTATGGAGAAAAAGGGAGTAGAACGTGCCCAAAACGATTGGATCCATAAGAATCAGATACGACGAGCAGGATATTTCACAAATTCTTCGTTTTTAAGTGTTTTCAAGCGAACTACAACTGTTTTCTTTGAGCCCAAAGTGGAAGTCCATTTACTCTTTGGTTATTTTAGAACCTAGATTAAACCTAAAGTCTAGGTTTTTTCATACATATGGCATGAGTCTGTTACATAGGTATGTAACAACATAAAATATTTTATCGAAAAACCAAACTCTTGGAAAAATCAGCTCTTGAAGTTCCTGACACACCATGTGTGTCAGGCGGTCCGGAAAGGGTTAAGTAACTCTAGATTGGTGCACTCATATATCCGTTCTATTACAGCCATAGTGTGACAAAGGGATAATAACGTAGTTGTGTGACATTAGCAAGTGGCCAGCTTCCAGTAGCATTGCTTATTCTTAGTTTTTTTTTTATTGCAATAGTCCTAACTATAGTTTTCTGTTATGTATTCAAAATAACGTTTGAGTGGAAAGCTTGCGCAGCTTTTTTTCTGCGAGGTTCGGAGAACTTTATAGCTAGTGTTCGGTCGAGGCAGTTGTCGGATCAGATAGAAAAGAAAAGCGAGTGTCATGAGCGGTGGACATGCGGACCATCATTCTTCGTGGGGTAGTACGATTTATGTCCACGATGATCGCACGATCGAGGTGTAGTCATATGATCGAGACGATCTACTACGGATCTAACTGCCACACAAGTACAAATAATTCAATTGTACGCTGTCGCAGAGTTAGGATGGCTAAAATAAGATTTATTTGTAAGGTCCATTCAATGTTCACCCTGGATATTTTTTCAGCGTCGACGAGTTCATCGATGTTATTCAAGGGAATCGGGTTTACATAGCTTGCCTCTATGTATATAATAAGATTGATCAAATCTCAATTGAAGAGGTGGATCGATTGGCCAGGTGTGATAAGTTTACCAATTGGTGTAGTCATCTTTTGTTTACTTTCCTGCTCATTTATGTTGCTCATTTTCTTATTTTTGAAGCCTGTGCAGTTTTCGTAGCATGTTTCAGGTTACCACATCATGTAGTGATTTCTTGCGAAATGAACTTGAATATGGACTATTTGTTGGAGAAGATATGGGAATACTTGGCACTTGTTCGAGTTTATACCAAGAAACCAGGACATGCACCGGATCTAGGTGAAAACATTAATTTCGGGAATATTATTTACAGGCATCAGGATCCAAATTTTGCTTCGAAGCTTAAAAAATGATACGTATCTCTCAGGTGTTCTTCTAAAGGCAGCCTTACGATAAATCTTGGAGGGGTTCAGCACATAGAGTGCTCGGGTGTGGTTGGGAGGAGAGCGATTTTTCGTTGTTTCACAGCGTGAAAATTTTTCGCTGGAGGAACCCGGGCATCGCTGATATGAGCCATGGGGCGGTATTCAATCCTTCCCCCAGGGGGATATATCCCCCTACTCTGATTCAATCCTCTGGGGGACAAAAAAGGGTTGCGTCATAGGACCTCGCATACCTCTGTGTTTCTACCTGCCAGACAGTTAGAGCAGCGCGACCCCTCAGGGGAAAGAGTGCTTCATCAGTGGAGGGTAGTAGCGCTGCTCTAACTGTCTGGCAGGTAGAAACACAGAGGTATGCTAGGTCCTATGACGCAACCCTTTTTTGTCCCCCCAGAGGATTGAATCAGAGGAGGGGGATATATCCCCTGGGGGAAGGATTGAATACCGCCTGGAGTTCCCGCATTCGAAAAAATGTTTCGTGCGCGAAACGCGAATAGTTGCTTCTTTTGTGGACACACGGGTTAGCAGAAATAGTCTCTTCGCCATGCGTAGCTCTAATAAATTCTCTAATCGGGCAGGTGTGATAGGTTCGCCAGAGACGCTTGTTTTTTTGTGCAAGCTATTTCCAATCAGGGTTGTGCAGATCAGTCGGCGAATTCGTTGAGTACGAACCGTTTACCATGTTTCTGTGGGAAAAATTTCTGATGCCTTCGGTGTGGAAGGCTGCTATGAAGTTTAGGTTATTATGAAGTTTTCAATAGGATGGAGTGTGCTCTTCAAAATACAGTTGGGTGCATTCGGTTCGAATTGAGCAAAGTTCTAAATATTCAGTTATGTGGAGGTAGAGTGACTTTTTTGCTCTCCTCCCCTGTATATTTGCTGAAAAGCGTCGGGTAACATTCTCATGTCTCAACAGCTTCCTCTTTTTCAAGCCATGGATTGCCTTACATTAGGTTGTTACTTCATATCATGTGAAACTTTCCAAATGTGTCTAGCCGATCTGCCTTAAATGTATGGAAGAAAATAGAAGAATTACCAAATGCCTGTGTATTACCTGTGAAGGTGCTACTCCAATCTCCCATTTTCCGTGAGGCGCAGCTTACACCAGCATCGAGCCGCGCATTAGTCGATGGCTTAATGTGTTTGTGTTTGCTATGCGGCGGCGATGTGGGCAGAAATGTGCGAATAGTTGAGTTATGGGATGCTCATCAAACGTCTAACACTTCCAAAGAGAGTTCGACGTTGAGAGCCAACCTATGCTTGTTTTTTTGGAAGCTCCTAACTCATCATCAATTACGGGCGCTCAAGATAAAAGAGTTTGGAGCATTCACTGATGTATTGCTTGCCACTTCATGCCGGTCCTCTTCCCAATAGACTGGGTGATCGTTCAATTTGAGTTTTCATTTGTTGTGACGGACGCTGACATTTTCTCTGAAAAAAGTCATTCCTATTCAATAACATGCGAGGACTGTCTGATATTCAAGTCACGTTTTAATGCTTTCGAGCAAGTTTGACGCTAGTTAAACCACCTCGAGAAATGAAAGGTTCAGCTGTCCTAGTGGAATCCATTCAAGAAAACGTCTTTTTCTTCTTTCCACAAATTTGTTTTTGCTTGGTAGGTGTGCTTAACAGATTATTTATGATGAAGTATGATTTTTAAAATAGTAACGAGAAAATCCAAAGTTTCAATAGTAAATCGCCCTATGCTCAACCGTGCTTGTCCCAATTTTGATGTTATGCGAACGGCTCCATGATGCACTAAAATGAGGGGCTTTTGCCATCCCAAGCTAACCTTATCAGTCTCTTATAGTTGATGCTTTCATTTTCACAGGTCCGGAAGATGGGATAATTTTACGAGCAGGATGTACTGTTGAGCATTGCTGCCATGCTTTGCATCGAACACTAGCAAGCCAATTTCGATATGCGATCGTATGGGGAACCAGCACCAAGTTTTCCCCACAGAGGGTCGGAATTCATCATAAGCTGGACCACGAAGACGTGATACAAATAGTGAAAAAGTAAAATTTATCTTTGTTACGGGCATTCACGTTAGAGTATTTATTTGTACTGTCTGTTTTATGTGGGGGAGAATAGACTTAAAGTGCGGTTTTTTGTTATCGAGTGATGCTTCTGTTGATTTTTATCGGTTAAACTGATTCGTTTATACTTGAAATTATTCGTGTTTATGTGTAAACATCGCTCCATATCTTCAGTATTTCGAATTTGCGAGTTTTAATTGTGCTCTTGGCCTTGAGATTCTCATTGATTCTTTTAGAGCACGTGTGGGGGATGTAATTTCATCAAATGGCTAAGTGGGTATCAATAGTCGTCCACGTTGTGGCCCTTCACGGGCTGTGCCAAGCCCTCGGCGAAGGAGAGGTATGAGTTTGTTCCTGAGATCGTTTTAAGAAAGTTATTTTACTAGTCGGTTAGTTTGATGGACTTAAAAGTTGGAGAGTTTCTCACCCGAAGAAGCCTTTATGGGGTTCGGCTGAATATTATGTTTGTCCCATATTTAGTGAATCACTGTATATTTATTGTTGTAAAAGTTCACAGAAAATATTAAGAACGTGAACATTTTTTGTGAGGTAGCACTATCATCCTAAGCCTACTCTAACAATTGACCTATGTACGCGCTTCTACGTGACTATCACTTCAATTCCTCTAGAACATATTTTTAGCTTCCTTCTCCTTGACTACTGATTAGAACCTTTTAAAAGCCTAGAAACACAGAGGAACACAGAGGAAACGAGAGGTTAGGCGAGAGAACGCTCCTTCAATCACACGTACCGGCGGCTCACTCTATTCCTGGTTGGCTTCCTTATTTAAAGATGGTCCTCACTCCAAGCACTCTAACGAGGTCATCGAAAAAGGATTTGGACAGAATAGTCGCTATTTGCCAGAGCCCTTCCGGTGTTTTGAAATGACAGTACTGAGACATCTCCATAGAGTTGTAGATTGAAAATATAGAGTTTTGTACGTCACCATAGCGTTTGAGGCCTGAATCGGATCCGAACATGATCTCCCATCGTCATGCTCCTTGCTGCTTTTCCCACGGTTCCGTATATTGATTATCCAGCATATTTACCACGTTCTCCGGATACCGAAGCCGTTCGAAGGCTTCGAATCCATAGAGCACGATATGGAAGAGCTCCAGAGAAATGCTGTTCTATACAAAATGAAACGAAACACAGAAAACGCGTTATTAGATGAGTGAACGTCATGAGAGTGGCTCTTTTTAAAAATTTGGCTCACCTGATCCAACTCGATCTGTAGCTCTAATCACCAATTAGTTCTTCTTTAACCAGAATTTGATAACAATGTTATTTCTTCCGTGTTTAATGTGTTAATTCGTTTTCTGCAAAGCTACGCTGTCCAATTTAGTTGACCGATTTTTGCTTTTTCTGCAAAGTTGAAGCTACGCGGCGTTTAAATTGTAAAGAATATTTGCCTTTCTGATACCGTAATACAGTGAAATTTGAAACATACAGGGGAAGGAGTCTTGATCATCACCATCTAGCGGCGATGGTGCAACGTGTCGAGCCATCGCTGCTAGAGGACGCCCGAAGCAGCGATGGCTCGACACGTTGCACGAAGACTTGAAGAGTTCTGACATCTACCCTGATCAAGCATATTTCATATTTCACATAAGTATTTAATCGGGAAAAGTGGCGTCAGCACATCAGAAAAGCGGACCCCGCCTACAAGCGGGACAGACGCTAAAGAATAAGAAGAAGAAGGAGTCTTGTTCATCCTATGTATTTCTCAACATTTTTGAATACAGTTGCTGCGCTCACACATTTTACTTCCTCCTTTCCTGCAATTTTTTAAGCCTAAAAAAAGCGTCAAATGGTAACATACTTGATCACCGATCAGGGAGCTCATCCAAATCCACGGAAACTGGTCACCGCTAACTGTCTGTTAGGGTAGCATACGCGCTTTTGGCCCGGTAATCGTTTGGTAAAAGAAAAACCGATATAGGATGCTGATTTCACCGATTTCAGATTGTGCTCACAGTATCGAAGGCTGCTCTGGATCGTGAGCGATTGAGCGTTGACTCATGTGCTCAAGAAATGGATGACCCTTATCCTATGGGTCCCTTAGTGCCGTGCTCCTTCTTGCCGGACGAATTCATAGAATGTAACATGCCAGAACTGCTTCCTTCTGCACACAACGACACAGTGGTAAACTCTTTTGGCAGTTCTCTTCGTAACGCTCATTTTGTTATCTTATTTGTTCCTCTCTTTGTCTTACTTCCTCTGGCATATGATCAGCACACATTATTAGGACGCTGGATATTGCTCGAGATTTGGTGGTCAAAGAGCTGAAGATGTAGAGTGGACATGGTGGCATGCAGAGCATATGCCCTGTGCATTTAATGTCTTTGCGAAGGAGAACTATTTTTTCCAGAGGACACCGTTGCAATCCAAGTAAGTCGTTTCAGGTTTGTATAAGAGAACCTCATCTTTTCTATGCAGTATGTCTTGATGGTAAGCATGGCTCAGCTTGAGTTTTGTTTGCCACGAAGGCTTGAATGATCGATGGAAATGTAGAGAAGCCTATGATGCTGACTTCGCTCCTCCTTTTTAATGTTCTTCAGACTTGATGTACGGGCGAATAGTTTAAATGCTGTCCTTCAACTTTAGAAATATCCTGCGTCCCCTTATTCCTCCCATCGTTTCTATATTCCGGTATTTTGGGACGTGGTGGCCGCGATAGGATAGATATTTGTCTGGCTACTCAGCGATTGCTGTCGGAAAGCTAATGACGCTTGGAGGACTTGGTGTCTGGTGGATCATTGACATTTTTTTGCTAGTCACTGGAAATCTAACTCCAGCAGACGATTCTAATTGGGAACCCTACTACTAAGCCTTTCCGCCATCCTCTGATTTTATGCTCATCATTGAGTGTTCAAATTGTATTCATTGTTGATGTGTATGTGTGTCTGTTCAATTTCTGCTGTTGTGTATAATTCACTAAAAAAAGGTTTTGTAGAAAATTTAAAATGGTGTATTGCTACTTTGGGTTTTTTCCTTAGTGACACCGTGTTGCATTTGCACGGATTAGGCATGCTTGGAATACGAATTGCTTCTTTCTTCTCTAGAAAGCCCATTTCGCTTGAGTGACAGAAATACCGTCTCGAAAATAACTCTGTCAACCTATGTCAATATGGCTAAACAATATTTAATTCTTTTCCTACTACAGTTCTCGAGGGAACTCAAACGCGCCGAGCTATCTAGCACTGATAGAAGCCTGTATAGTACAGCTGCCGGTGCAGCACGGTACCGCTGAGGGAAACACGAATGTGACGAGTTATTAAGAATACATGTATGTTGAGATCATTACCCTTTCACCTTTTTCAAATTTTACCATCACAAATACTGTGGTATGGGTTTTAGGCACTATTTCACATAATAATAGCTAATATAATAGATACTGTTGCTATTTCCTCCCCGAATGTAAATATGATAGCCATCAGAATTGGAAAAGTAAAACTGAAAGGTCTTCATCATTGATGATGATCAATTTGTGATAATTTGTCCTATTTGTTCTGCATGGTTTTAACAAGCGTGATTCATGTTCTGAATGGAAAAGATTTTGAATAAATTTTTTGAGCTGCCTCCCACTTTTACTGCATCCCGTATTTTCGTTATACTGTATAGAAATCTGGCCTTTCTCTCATGACATTTTTCTCTGTCCCTTTCAGCATGTTTTTCTGACGCATCCCTATCTGAGATGATCGGAGGAATTTTTATTTATAATCACAAGGTACTGGTTCTTTTCTGCCATTTACCCTACATGCACATAGATGGTAACCTTGCATGTTGGGATGTCTTAGTTTCTGTTCAGGGTGAAGTTCTTATTTGTCGAATCTTTCGGGATGACGTAACCAGAGATGCAGTGAATGCTTTTCGCGTCAGTGTCATACATGCTAGGCAGCAGGTAAATCTACTCATAAATATTCTAGAATTTTTAATTTTATGATTGATAGCATGGCGTGAGTCAGAAATACTAATTTTGAAATAATGTAGACGTGATGTATCAGTCTGCCCAATTTTCGTTTATTAACCAGCTTGTCTGCTCTTGCAAACTCAAGCGCTTCACCTCTCATTTCGTGACTGCGAATCTCGGCCAAAGCTCATTTCTTGGAAAACCTTCCAAATGAAGCAGTTGCATTTTGTGATGTAGTCCTTGGCTCAACTCAGGCTAGGTCAGCTCTGGGAGGAATACGTGGTGCCGACGTCATGATTGCTGTTGAATCAGGATAAGCCGCAATAATTTCCTTACGTCAAATAGGATTGACATGACTGGTGACTTGGTGCTACGATCTGAAGCACAATTCCATGACCGGTTTAGACACTATTGATCCCTCAGTGCCTCGTTTTTCGAAAGTGGAATACATTCTTCTCAGGATTCGTTCTTTGTGGTACACTTGGAAAGATTCACCGCACGCACTCGAGGTCCTGCTCCACAGGCGCTCTGCGCCAAACGATCGTCGCTCGTGTCTTTCGGTTCAATATACTGTAGGAGGTGGCCCCAGCGACAAAATTTCTATCAAATTCGCACGGTGGGAACGAAATTTGGAAGAAAATCCATCGAAACACTCGAAAAGTTAGCCAATATAGGGTGGAAGTGCTCGATTCTGCCACGGATTTTGCCATCCTTACATAATTCTTCCTCTGTCAATTCAATTCTTTCTGAGATCTAGCTCTTGGTCCGGCTACCTCTATCAGACCTTGAATTTTCCACGTTATAGAAAAGTAGTACTGCGAAGGTGCCAAGGGTGTTATAGCAGGTGGCACCTCTTACCGAATGTACAGTCAGGGGAGGGGGTTTAGTAGCTGTTAGGTTCCACAACGTGCAACCACTTCCTTCTCCCCATCATTTTGAGCCGGCCGTTAGGGCTACTCTGGAAAGAAAAACACTGGGTGTCCTGTATCGGCCAGCCACTGCAAGTCATTAGAGAAAAATACAGATCTAATTCCCATAAAGGTTTTGAATGGAAGCAGAATTCTTGGCCCATCTCATGAGGTGGATGATCATTGCCGATGCGTCATCCCTTTCTCTCCCAACTCTTAAACTGGTTTGTGTAGGGGGAGCTGGTATTTTTTTCTGGATTTATGACCTTCGGGTTGATTTGAATGTTTTATCGTCCGGGGAAGGAGCACTTTCGAGTGGTTCCTAAAATAGCACAAGTCTGCTCTGTTTATAGGTAAGATCTCCGATCGTTCTTATCGGAAGAACTTCATTCCTGCACCGAAGATGTGGTACGGTATGGATGGCTGCCGCTACAAGGATGAACTCAAATGCAGCTGCTGTGTTTGAGGTGCTCTATGTCTAGCAAGTGTTGTTTCCTTCTTTTCTCTTCTTCTAATACACCGAGTTCTTTACATGGCGGCCTCTTCTTTCAGTGCATCTCTTCATCTCTTTTCCCACTTTTTCCCAAAGGGCTTTTTTAGGCCTGTTAATGCTCCCACTCAATATGTAACGGATTAACAGTAGTAGCCACATTTGCTACATGGCATAAATAGGCGCAGTCCCCATTTGAAGAAAGCCTTGTTACCTGGCCTTTGCCGTGCCTTCGTCTTGAGCCTTGCTTCACCCCTAAAATTACCACTTTTGGAATGAAGCTCCTGGTATGTTCCGCATTGTAATAATCGCTCTAGCGCCAGTTTTGATCAAAAAGAAAATGTGGTTTTTCAGATTTTGTATCGGCTAGCACGCAGTGACAGTATACATAGAAATGGGTGATTTTGAGGTCCCGTGAAGTTAAAAATCCTATTAAGGTATTCTGTGATGAGTACTAGAGCGCAACTTGTAGGCATTCTTCCTCCCAGACACGTGTTCGATTTGTATTTGCTAAAGGTGTATGTATTCATTTGATTGCAGTATGACAGTGTTCTTAATGGTGGTCTTTGGTGAGAAATGGTTTAATGCATATTAAAACATAATTTTGAAGGTATTGCAAAGATTAGCCACAACAATGACGGAGTACTTCGGAAAAATTACGGAGGTACAAGCTGCTTGAGATTTCACTATTTATGTTTTTTTTTACCTCCTTTTAAGCTTAGAGTATCAGATGTAATCGAAATACGGGAATAATTAAAACAGCGTGAGGCATCGAATCTTTTTTAGGACAGTATCCGCTCGAACTTTGTCCTGATCTACGAAATTCTGGACGAATTAATTGATTTTGGGTATCCGCAAATGACAGATGCTACTGTTCTGAAGACTTATATAACTCAAGCAGGAGTGCGCGGTGTGACGAGGGAGGAGCAGCAACAAATTACAAGTCAGGTGAGGGTTCCTCTGCGGTATGATCCAAATCCGAGCTATAAACATGGCTTTTAGGTTACCGGTCAGATAAGTTGGCGACGCGAAGGAATAAAATATCGTCGTAATGAGCTATTTATTGACGTCGTGGAATGTGTGAATTTGCTGATGAACCAAAAAGGTAATTGTGTGGTACTTCCTTCTATGTGCGCGCTAGCAGTGAATTGGTTTCCATACTGTCTTTGTTTTAGGGCAAGTCTTATCTGTTAATGTTGCTGGCAAGGTTCTGATGAAATGTTTTCTATCAGGAATGCCTGAATGCAAATTCGGTATAAATGATAAGATTACTTTACAACAATCCAGCAGTCGGAATCAAACGGACGATGCCACAAAATCGTAGGATTCTTTTCTTTTTCAGGCTTTCGCCATGTAAATTTTTGCCTTTTATAGCTTCATAGGTTGGAAAGAGGCGGTACATGATTGGTGATACTAAATAAAGAGTTACGGCCTTGAGTTTGAGCCAAAAGCCGGGAATAGCAACCTCGTTCAACCACTTTCCTCGGATTGCAAGCCTTGCATGGAAAGATGACCGCCACATTCAGTGTCACAGTTGTAAGCCCTGCCGAATGCTCGGCGTCTACGTTGTCCAAAATCTCCAGTTGTTGCTTGTGCACGTCACGTATGACACCACAGTGACGAATGGATGCGCAATCACCAAAATTCAAAATTTTCCCGACTTCCGCCTTAATGCTACGAGCTCATTTGGGTGCTTGGCGAGCTTCGGCTAAATAGTGGAATGGAACCATTCGTGGCTTCTCGAATTATTCAGTACCATACTTTAGCAACCAATATCATTCGTGAGAGGAATTTAGTTGCTACGACATCGTATTTTGATTGGTTGACGGTAAAGTTTAACAGTGAAGTTCCTCAGTGGATGTAGAGGCTCATGGCAAAATCGCGAGTGGTGATGTAAAAATGAGATGCATGATTTCTGCAAAATTCAGAAAATCTTCGGGTGACAACCCGTAACAGATGTTCTAAGATAGTGTTTAACTCATAGTTATATTTTTTAGTTGATTTCGAAGAAACACTTGAATTAGATAATGCTTCATTTCTACTTTTCATTGAATAAAGAGGACTCAGTCGTAATCCTTTTTTTCAAATGCTTCATCTAGTTTTTATTCAGAGCTCGAACTGTGGTTGCCATTGATGACATCCAGTTTCATCAGTGTGTTCGTCTTGGAAAGTTTGAAACCGATCGAGCCATTTCTTTTGTGCCTCCAGACGGTACTTGTGAATTGATCAAGTACCGCACAACTCAGGATATCAAACTGCCCTTTCAGTATGTTCTCAAGTCTGTTAAGTAATTTAGAAGGACAGGATTTTATTATGCCTTTTTGGTACCACTCCTTTTCTTTTCAGTGTTATTCCTTTGGTCAGAGAAGTTTGCAAGTCTAAATTGGAAATAAAAGTTGTTCTCAAAGCTGAGTATAAACAGAATCTTGTTGGACAAAAAATAGAGGTAAGTGCGATTTTTCAAATACTAAAAATCAAAAACAACGCCCAATAGTTCTGGGCATTGAAGAGACGGCAGTCGCAAGTTTAAGCGAGCGGAAGGCAAAAAAGCTTCGAAGCAGTGTGTTAAGTATTTTTTAAGTGAAATCAAAATGAAACCAATCGCTGAATTCCGTGATAAGCTCATTTCATCCAATTTTGCTTCTAATTCAACTGTCTCCTACAGTGACGACTTACTCGAACGAAAGCATAACTTGATTATTGGTAAATAATTTTCTCTACGAAATTTCTCAAAGTGAAGCTTAAAAAACTAAATTCTGTTTGCAAAGAGACATGCTTAATAATCGGAGTTTTAGGTGCGGATTCCTACACCACCGAACACATGCGGTGCCACTTTGTTATGCATGAAAGGGAAAGCCAAGTATAAACCGGGAGAGAATGCGATAGTGTGGAAGGTAAGAAGTTTGAGTGTCAAAGAGCGTAGCCTTTATTTCCACATATTCGCGGGAGCATGAATGGAAATGATAAGAGGCTTCAGCTATGGATGAAGCTTATAAATGTTTTTAGCTGGACTTAATTAGTGGACCTTGATTAATCCCAGCTCATCAGAAAGTATAATTTTCATTCTTTATATATGCTTTCTTGAGTGTTTCTCGTCATTGACCACTTTCGCATATAATTGCTTAGATAAAACGGCTGGCAGGTGGGAAGAAGGTGCAGATTTCTGCTGATGTTGATCTTCTGACAATTGGAGTTCAGGCAAGTCCAATTTATCCACGAGGTAATTCA